CTCACTGTGTTGTATGATGTGATGTTGGTCACGGAGCGTCTCACAGGACTGAGACTTAAGCCCCCGAAGTGCAACATCGTCCCGCTCAAGGGTGTGTTCACCGAGTCCCTCCAGCTGCACACGATGTCCCTCGTGGCGCACCTCGTCCCTGCCTGGCAGGCCTTCGAAGTGGCCTCCTACGTCCTCTACCTTGGCCTCCTGCTGGGCCCAGCCGTCACTGTGGACATGCAGTGGCACGCCCCGCTGCAGAAGCTCAAATTACGAGCCCGACTTCTTGGGTCGGGCGCTGCCCCCGCCAGTATCAACGGTGTTCTGTACTCGTCTAGGGTCTTCTCAGTGGTCTCCTATGTGGCCCAATTTGTCCCACTTCCACCACGACACGCTGCCCTGGAACTGGGGATCCTCGCGCAGGTCTTCAGAGCCCCTCTTGGTATGCTCACTGCGGCAGGCTGGGCCCAACTTGGCGCCTGGGGTGGTCCCCGTATCCCCTTGCTGCTCCACTCGTGTGCTGCCGCCTATGCTCGAGCCGCTTTAGTCACGTTCTCTAACCACACTACCATCCTTGATCGCTGTCGACTACTTGAATCTGAATGGAAGTTATCACTGATGGAGGGCCGTTATGATGATGCACCCTTAGCGGCGACTCGATCACGCGAAGATGCCCTGGACCATGTTGGAACGCACTGGCAGTCCCCGTCTTTCTTGCTGGGCTACGCCTCGGTACACCAGCCGTGCAGGGAAATGGCGTACTCTGCTGAGGTCACGGACAGGTGCGTGCAGGCCATCACCCAGGAGCTCCAGGTCACCGACAGGAAGCCCAAGTCCCAACGCGCAGCCACACACGCTCTGCGGGAAATGCTGGTGACGCCCTTCCCGCTGGCTACATTGGTGCAGCAACGCCTTCAGAGATATGTTTGTGAATGGGAGCCGTTTCTTGATCGTGTGGCTTGGACGGAAATTGGTGGACTTCTATCGCTGGTTCCCATGAGCTGGGCCATGCCTGTCATCAAAACTTACTGCTCTGGTTGGCTCACTTCTTCGCGCATACAGTACGTTGGAGGTCCCCGCTCGTGTATCTTTGGTTGCCGTTCGTACGCCGATAGACAGTGCCGCTACATGCGATGCCGCCCATTGTGGACTGCAGTGTACCATGCATTGGGGTATGAGATGCTTTCGCTCCTTTCTGATCGCTTGGGGCTGCGGCTTCCTGGTCTCATGCATGTGGAAACCTTGGCGGTGGCTTTCAACATTTACTATACTATGCGTTTTCGCCTATACGTTTCCTTTACTGACCTACGCTCAAGTGCACGTGCTGCAGTTAGAAACCTTCGATTGGCCAAGCCCGACGCTCAACTGGAAAAGAAGTGGCAACCCCCTGCTGCGCTGATCCTTCACCGCCTGCCGCAACCCACTACTACCTCCTCGACCTCGTCCAGCGATGATGAAGTTGATGGACTGCATCCCGACCAGCCTGGAGATCCCGATGATGGCCCTGGCGAGGCTGGACATCGCATGGGCATGGAAATTGGTCCATCACCATGTCTTACCCCTCGGCTCGTCCCCACGGTACATAGTGATGGCGGCAGTGTCGGTCCTCCCTCCCTGCCTGGAACCCCAACGACACTGATAGCGACTCCATCCAGAGTTGGACACATTGACGACATCGATGGCTTCGAAGGAGTGGCCCTCTCTGACAATGACGGCGCGCCCCCACGCGTCCAACGACATTTGCCCCCACCTGACTCGTGTGGCTCTTCGGCAGATGATGTCAGAACGCTAAGTCCTGGCAGTGGGTGCTCCTCGAGCCCATCTGTCCAGGCATCTAGAGTAAATTGCGAGGATATGCTGCAGACGTCCCTTGGTGCCTCGACGCGTGAGGTCAGAACGCTAAGTCCTGACGGCGGGTGCTCCTCGAGCCCGTCGTTTCAGGCACCTAGAGTGAATTGCGAGGAGCGGTCTCACATGGCGTGCTGCGCTCCCCACCCTGCACACCCTGGGCGGACGGCCGTTAGAACGCAAAGTCCTGGGCATGGGTGCTCCTCGAACCCATTGCCACAGGCTCGAGGAAGTTGCGAGGGGAATGTCTCTGGCCCTGTGGCGTCCCTGGTTGCGAGGCGTTCTCGGCAGGGGTGCATACTGGCGACGACTCCGATTTGCTCGGCTACTCCGTGGCTGACCTGTGCGCCAGCATCCTCGTCTGGGCCTGCTCCGTGCACGTCGGGGACCCTGAGTGCGACTCCATCGACTCCAGTGGCCTTGGGTTCTTCCCGAATGGCGACTCCCTCCCCACGTTCCGCCCCCTCGTGGCCGATTTCGTCGGCGCTGGGTCCCCAGAGGGCATCTTCCGCTCCGACGGCCACGTCGACGTCGGGCTCCTCTCCCCGTGAGTGCCCTGTTGGAAAAGGCCTGTCACTGTCGACCTTCCTCCCCCCGTCCTTCGCTCCGCTGAGCTGTGCCTGTGCCGCCGCTTGCTCCTCCCCTGCTTCTCCTCGCTCGGCTCCGCATTGCCACCATCCCTCATCGCCTGTGCCTGCACATATGCGCCCGTCACCACATCAGCTTTTCTCTACTTGTCCTCCTTCGCTCCCGTTTTCCGATGATGTCTCGCCTCCCCTCCTTTTGGTAAAAAAAACGGCTTTCCGCCCCGTGGACAACAAGTTCATGACAGGCGGGCCCGCGGCGCCCGCCCCGCCGCCGCCGCTCTCGCCCGTCGCCTCCGCTTTCGAAAGCGTTGAGAAGAGCCATCGACCATTGGGTCGATAGGCTGGTGGCTCGTGGAGGATGACCTCCCCCTGTACGCTGGTCTCCTCCTCCTCCTCCTCCTCCTCCTCCTCCTCACGCGGCACGTCTTCTGTTTTAAGTTGTGCCCTCCATATTTCCTTGTTCTGGGGTGCTCGCGATTCGTTGCTTGTACGTTCTATGCTGCGTCCTGCGTCCTCCTCCTCCAGTATACAAGAGCCCCCCTTTCTGATTGTGACGCAAACGATGGGTTAGCACCTGCATCTGCCATTTGGGCATCAAGGCCCTCTACGACGCCCCAGTCGGTGGCCAGAAGAGGGCCCAGCGTAGTGGAACGGGATGGGCGGGCTGGGCAGTATGTGAGATGCGGCGCGAACGCGCCTAGCGCACCGAGCCCGGCGTCAGTGCGTTTGAGCTTTCCCGTAAGGTCCCATCCGCCCTGCCCACCCGCACGGCCCGACCGCGGGGATCCTCCCGCTCGACCCGCCCGCCCGACCCACCCCGTAGGGTCCGCCCGCCCGACCCGCCCGGCGACGACGCCAATCGGACCGCCGCCCCCGTCGACGACGATGACGAGGTTCGGACCGCCGCCGCCGCCGCCGCCGACGAAGACGACCCAGCGGGAATGCCCGAGCACACTGACGGCCCGATGCTCCGCCCCTCCATCCTCGAGCCTCGATCCTCCTCCTCGGATCCTTCGCCGCCTCGAACCTCGAATCTCCTCCTCGATCCCCCTCCCGCTCAAAATCCGCCCCCCGACACCTGGACCCCTCCTGGAGTTCATTTCGACCCAGTTCTCTCGGGTCGGACCCAGCCGTGGCGGCGAGAAGCCTCCAGCAGACCTCAAAAAGACGGGAAACGCCAGTGTGGACCGGCTTGGGGGTCACGACTCGGGCCTCTGGCTGCCATTCGGCCGCATCCCGAGACAGGAAAACCTCCCGGGGGGGCCAGCCGGCCGCTCCAGGTGGACACGGAGCTCGCCCAGGGAGGGACCTCGAGGAGGGACCTCTGTACTTCCTCGACCTCCTCGAAGAGAGACCTCCTGGCCCGTTGTCTCGACCAGCCCTGGAGTCTCTGCCGCCGCCGCTGCCGACGACGACGCCAATCGGACCGCCGCCGCCGCCGCAGCCGCAGCCGCCGCCGCCGACGACGGCGGCGGCGGCGGCGGCGGGAGGGGGAGGAGGAGGAGGAGGAGGAGGAGGAGGAGGAGGAGGAGGAGGAGGAGGAGGAGGAGGAGGAGGAGGAGGAGGAAGAGGAGGAGGAAGACGAGGAGGAGGAGGAGGAGGAGGAGGAGGAGGAGGAGGAGGAGGAGGACCAGTGTAAAACCAAGAGCCATCAACGAGGTTGGAGCAAACCTTTCCTCCAAGTTCCCTC